TCATTAGTAAAAATTTATAGATATGAAGTAAATAATATATGCTCCATCAAATTAAAAGAAACGATAAATGTCTGTTAAATGATCTTACACACGCCTAAAAGATTTATGGTTCTAGAAAAAGAACGCTTACCAAAACTAAAATGTTTTTCAATGTAAAATTTTAAAACTAATAACAGGTACTCACTCCTTGTAATGTGAAAAATAAAACTTTTATTTTCGCTTTTATAAGATACATCACTGGCACAATAGAAGACCGATAAACGATATTGCAATGGATGACATGCATATCAGAATTCTACTAAAAAGGAGCAGGATGGGAGACTTCATTACTTGAATTTAAGAACTAAGCAATGAACTAGAACAGGTATTGCTGTATGCTATTTCTTCATGCCTGAAATCCTGATTGTCACCTGAAAATGCGAATGAATCTATTATGAGAAAAAAAAAAACGTTTTTGCATTGATGTTTTTATTTAACCATAATACAATATTAATTCACTATATTACCATCAGTGGTTCGAAAAAATATATTCTAAGAAGAGTTAGACATACTGAACCAATTGGTTCAATCCTAACACAGACACCATCTGACCGCGGCTAATATATATATATGTATATATATATATATATATATATATATATATATATATATATATATATATATTAGTCCAGTCAATGAATGATTAAAAAAGGAAATGGCGACGACACAATTTTTGACTTTGGGACATTGTTTGAAATAGTCAGGAGGTAAACATACTAAAAGTCCCCACTCCTAGGTGGTGAGCCGGATGTGGAGGGGCGCCTAGAAAGTCACTTTTTTCGGGTTTTCGCTTATATCAGGAAAATTATCCATCGCATTGACAAAAATGTTCTATACATAATTAAAGCTGATAATATTTGCGACATAAGTTACTATATACATTTGTTCGCTATATCGTTTCATAGTCCTCAACTATGGCTAAATTTGAAAAATAATATTTTGCCTTTTGTTCATTGTTGTTTTTCGAATTATATCAGGAAAACTATTCATCGCATCGACAAAAAACGTACGATACAAATTTAAAGCTAATAAAATTTTCGATGTGATTGATTATAGATTTGTTTTCGCTACTTTGCTTAGTTTCCGAGATATCCGTTCTCAACTATTGCTAAAGTGTAAACAAAATATTTTTAGCTTATGTTTTTTACTGTATTTGACAGGCTAACTCTTGATTGATCCATTCTACGATTAAGTCGTGTGAAAAAAAGTTTTCAATAATTAAATTTTTCTTTAAGAATATATATTATTTTAGTTAGTTTATCTTCAACTGTTCAAAAGTTAGATCAATTATAACTGTACATGCCAATTCCGTGAATTTTCAGTCAAGGCTGTAATAATAAAATATTATCCTGAATGGATTTCTTTAAATATTATGTAGGAAAAATACAGAATAAGAAGTGTAACTAATAGATATAATAGTTAATTTTGTCGATATTGAAAAATTTATTGATGTTTAGATGGCAGAAGAAGGAGGCGTGTTGTCTTTAATACCGTGACGCCGACAGAGAGGCGCCCTAGGGAAGGTGTCTGAGGCGTAGGCAGGAGGATAATTTCATGTACCTTCATGTTAATTAGGGTAGCGATGGTATTTCGATAGGGAAATATGTAGAGAATTATCTTAGGTGGTGAAGGTTTTGAGCAATTTCGTCTCTCCCATAACAATATATATTTATATATATAAATATTATTTGAGCTAATTAATCAAATCTTACTAAACAAGTTATAACATGCATGAACTTTTAATTTAGGACTTTTAATTTTGGATCTAAATATGAGAGAAGCTGTAAAATTTGAAAAGGAAAGCATGTGTTTTCTGCCTTCTCTCTCTCTAAAAAATAAATAATAAAAAATTATTATAATTAACAAGTGGAAAAAATTCTTATATTATTAATACATTTACATATAATTAAGGCAGTATCAGGTCTGCCAAATGAACTGGATGTCTATTAATTTTGCGTGGCTTTGCTTTAATTGTAGAAGAACAAAACGATGTGTTGTTTTATTATTAATTTTCTAGCTATACGAAACGATTCATTTCATAATCTTCCACCAGACTACATTTTCATGCCAAAAGTTACACAATTAAAGCTACTCGGAACAGTTTCTTAAAAATTCAAAATATGATATTAATAGAACTATACTTTTATAGCTGGCATTTTTGATATACCAGGTTTTGGCAGCAGTGGGTTAATACGTTGAGAATACGTTTTAATTTTTTGGGGATATGTTTTATTTTTGGGGGACATGTTTTATTTTTTGGGGGGTCCTTCCCTTTCTTGCCTTTAAGCCTATACGGGGTTTTCCCGAACCAGGTGATATAAGGGGAGGGGCGATTTAAAATACTCTCTCGGCACCGGGAAGCGAACTGGTGGCTATTTTTTATCATGTTCACTTATCAGGTTTCCAGGCAACGGTACACACAAGTCGGAAAAGGCATACAACGGCAAAAAAAACCTGGGAAAGTTTCAACTGAAGTAAGATATTTGAAAACTGAATTTATTATCGCATGTCGGTTGTTCTAACATTTTTGGTAAGACTAACCGTTATTATTATCGTTGATTTTTCCAATTATAAATAAAATATATTTTGCATGTAATATGTTGTAAAAGTGAAAATTTATTGAATAAAGTTATTGACAGAATCAATTATAAATATATATTGCCTATATTACGATCAAGAGGACATAGTGGTTAGAGAAGAAGAGCAAATCAATCTACAACTAAATGAAGATAAAACCAAATATATGGTGAGCTGAAAACATTACCCCAGTATCAATTACGAGTCACGGAATTGTTTGGATTTCTCTTCAATATTTTTCTTTCAGTTTTTTTTGTTTCTATAGTTTTTCTACAGTTTCTATGACGGTAAATACAGGTTGGAATTTTTTCTTACTCGTTTTTTGTATAACTTCCTTCACTGAATTTGTAATATAATTACCAAAATGTCAAATTATCGCAGCTAATTTTTGTATTCATCATTAGCAGACGGTTCAAAAAACATTTTGATTACAGAAATACCTTGGCGGCCGTTGGCGCGTGGTACTTTTCGATGGAAAAGGGCAATTTCGTTGAGTGATAACTTATAATATGAATACGTTTTTTTAAAATTTATTTAGAAATAACTTATTTGACTCGTTTCTAAAAATTATGTTCATAAATCAACAAAAACGCATAAAATATATTTAATGATTTCTAACAAGTTGCATGATTTCTAACTGCACAAACAAATGTCACAAACAGGCTTTTTACTTATATTTTATTGAATATCTTTAAAGCTGGTGTTTTTATTTGGCAATTTATTTTTATTTATTTTATGTACAAATGTCACAAACAGGCTTTTTACTTATATTTCATTGAATATCTTTAAAGCTGGTGTTTTTATTTGGCCTAAACCTTAGGCCAATACTTAACCTGATAAGTGAGACATGATAAAAAATAACCACGAGTTCGCGTCCCGGTGCCGAGGGAATCTTTTAAATCCCCACCCCCAAATCCCCTGGCTCGGGAAAACCCCGTATAGCTTTAAAGGTAAGAAATGTTAGGACCGATCCCCCCAAAAAAAGAAAACGTATCCCCAAAACATTAAAACTTATTCCCAACGTATTAGGAATATATGAGTACACTTTGCTACATATTAAAACATAGAAATTTGAATTATCATAAAACCTTGAAATTAGAGGTTTTTGCCGCTCTCAGACCACTGTGCGACGGTGCTGTGCACACGCGTTAGCCCGCTCAGCCAGTGCACTTTTTTTTTTTCTTCCTATTCTTCCCTACCTCGCCTTTTAGGCTATAAAGGATTTCCCCGGACCGGAGGGTGAGGGCGGGAAATTCAAAATCCTCTTTGGCACCGGGACGCGAACTCGTACTTTGTTTTCAATCTCCAAACTTGGTTAACTGGTTGCTGGGCAAATCGCTCGCGGTGCTGTGTACACACGTTAGCTCATTATGCCACCCCGCCCTCTATATTAGAACTGCACTATTTTCAAGTTCAGATATGCCAAGTATTTCGAGTAAATCAAATTTCAGATCCCCATAAGTCCTTGAGAACAAATAAAAACGTTCTTAGTAAGTTATTGTACAGATTTATGCCTTTAGAAATTTAGTAAACAGCTGTAAAATTATCTTTAAAACTATCAAAAAAAAAAGGTGCAAAAGTAATTTTCAAAAATCCCTTAATGTTTAAAAATAGTGTATTACTTGGGTTTCGAAAAAAAATTTTATGAAATAAAAAAAATCATCCTATGCTATTACGTAAGCTAGTTGTATTAATCCAGAACACACTAGGAACTTGCGAGGAATATTTTCTTTTAGCTACTACAAAATTCCAGAGATCTCAAAAAAATATGATAATCATAATAATATGAAATATTTTTCCTATTATAACTAAGTATCCATTAAAAATGAAAGAAAATTTATTATGCATTATTTTAAAAAAAATATGAACTGATAAATCAACGCCATTAAGATACCATCTCATATATATATATATATATATATATATATATATATATATATATATATATATATATATATATATATATATATATTTAACACGTAAACGATTTGTAAATCATTATTTCTTTGTATAATGGTATCATATAACAAATATCTGCCTAGCAAGGAGATTTTCTTTATCAAAAAGCTTTGTGTTTAATTATTATGTACCTTAGTCCTCAATGATGCTTTTGTTTCATTTTTTTTTTTTTATTTATTCTAATGTTTGTCAACTCTCTAGAATCTCGAAAGATAATTATTACAAGTAAAAAAAAAAAAAATCAAAGAAAACACAAAGGCCTGAAGATGACTTCTTCCAGTGACAGTCGATTTCACTTGCTAATTTGAAGTGTACCCCTGACGGACGGGTACATCAGAAATAACGAGAACGCAATTAAAAATGAAAAAGAAAAAAAAAGAGAGCGCTTCACCAATCAGCTGAAGGAGGCCTTTGTCTCTGAGGTAATGGCAGCCTTTTTGATCCGACCCCTCCCAATTATATTTCGTTATCTGGTTGCCAGGGTTACCCGGGCCTCAAAGCCCCGCCGACCCCTCCTATATTTCGCATCCGATCTCGGGATCAAAGGCCCTCACCTCCGCTGTCTATATATCTGTAGCTCGTGTTATCTTCCTCCCTCTTCGTCGGTCTTCGCCGAAAATTCTTCACCAATTCTCCCAAGGAAGAAGAAGCGAGTAAGCGATAGGATAATCAGAATTGAATCTAGAGAACGATTGGTCAGTAATTGATTAGTTGATGTATACTTAGGAATAATGACAAAAATTAAATACCGAAGGTAACGTATCTGGTTTTCTTCTTTTGCAGCGGATGTAATAAGTAAAACTTTGTATAAATACAAATTTAAAGAATGAATGAGTTATTACATAAAATGGAGAAGCCACACAAATGGATATACATTGCCCGATCAATTATCGAATTTTCCAGTGAACGGCTGGATCGATTTTTAAATTTGATGATTCGTACTACTCGGTGAGATCCCGTTATTGTTTTGAAACAACTTGGATTCCAAACACAGACAAATTATTATATAAAATGCACTTTCTCTGTCCATTAAAAGGTATGTAATGCCTTATTCAACGAAAGACTCAGGAGATTTTTCAAATGACAATTTATTCAAATTCAAATTTCTTCAAAGTTCAATTTATCAAATGACCCTGTAAGATCGTATAAATATTTTGAAATTATTGAAGCTCAAAATGTTTTATTATATTTAAGTAATTTCAAATTTGAATTGGTTTAATATTATGTCTTGTATAAGATCTTCATATTAATTTCACTATCAAATTACAAAATTATTTAAGTTGATATATACATTCCCTTAGAGTAGTATATCCCGATTTCCATAGTCGGTTTTATTTTAAATCAAAAATGTTATTATTTAATAGGTTTATTAAGAACATTTATTATACATTTAGAATAGGGACTGAACAGTTAATATTACAATATTAATATCATCAACAATGATTAACTCTCTATCATGCACTAAGAAAAAAAAAAAAAAACCTGTACCACTACGACCCATACAACCCGCAAGGGTCTTGCGATCACTACAATTTAGGGAAAGTACAGTTTCAAGGCCAACGGTTGTGCAGGGAAGGGATCGGGCCAGGATCACGGTCAACCGCCAGGCTTTCTCCCTTAATCAATTATTTAATTAAGAGTACTCACTTTGTAGCGGCTGGGTAAGCCCCAGGAGGGTCTCCTCACCCCAGGATCACCCCACGGCCAATGAAACAGAATAAATAACTTTTCTGCCATGAGCCCGGATCGAGAAGCTGGGACCTCGAGCATTGGAAGCTGAGTGCCCTATCACTGAGCTACACCGCTCCTTCTATCATGCACTATGGTTCTTCAAAATAACCGACAACTTCTGAGCAATTTCAATCCCCAACTATTTAAGTGACGATTTTATTTCGTAGAGTTTAACGATTGTTCATTTATGACTTTTAAGGTAGAGGTATATTTCTACTCAAAATTGTGTGTTAAATGAAAATTTTATAATGCGCACACCGTACCAATTTTTTAATAATATGTTTAATTATTGAAAATTTCTGAACTTAAAATAGAATTGGATATTTATGAACTTGGCTATAACAGATCCTTGCGAACAGTGAAGACTGTACTCCATTAAATGTTATCCTAATTCAATGGTGAGTCAGTACATATATTAAGCTACTTGCACACCAGAGGGTGCTTCCCTACCTCCGTGATCTTCCAGACTCAAGGGATCAAAGTCAAACATTCCAGACCAAAAAAAGTTGACTTATAACTCCCTAAGACGTCCGCCACGAAGGAAATAAGGGTTTAAAAAAAAGGTGAAAAGGATTGTAAAATTAAAACAAAAACAGATAGGTTCATGAAGTAGGATTATTTATTGCCTTGCTCCACAAAGTGGCCTATCGGAGGTAATTTTGATCGGACCAATCGGTGCACTAAATCACAGGGAGGCATCTGATTGGCGGGTGATGTGCTAGTGGGAGTGGACAAATTACAGGTCTTACCTCCGGGACGGCTTCTTGTACACCCGCTCAAGGATAGTTTAAGGAAAGGAATCTGGAGTTGTTTAGAAGCTAAAAAAAAAAAAAAAAAAAAAAAGAAGAAGAAAGGTATAGATGTTAGCATTGAGCACTATAATAGTTAAGATGCATTAGGTAGTATCATAATACGTCAATCAAGAAAGTTAATAGTATTCTACTGTATATTTTATTTTTTTTCTTTGCAATTATGATGTATTTATAATGAAAAGTTAAATAAATTAAAAATAACTGATGCCAAGAATTTGTAGTTCTAAAATAACTTTATATTTTATTCTGAAAATTGTTTTGTTTATAACCAGATGATCAAACTATGGTGTATATTTAATTTTCTAATGAGCTTTTTATTTAGAAAGGTTATGTAATGTTTTTTTTTTTCTTGGACAATTTACTATTAAGTTTTCACGAAAACTGTTGCCTCTAAACATTCTAGTAAAAGCTGTTTCAAGAACTTCATCGTGAGAAGTTTTATAATAATTAACTTGTTGACCAGAATTTTTATTTATAAGTTCTGTAATATTAAATCACTCTCAAGAACTTTTTAGTTAATGCTTTTATAAAAACAAAATCACATAATTAAAGTTATCATTTGACTTCAGCTCGGGTCTTAGATTGCCACTGATTGAGATCATACGAATTTACAGATTTTAAAAACAAAAAAAAGTAGAGATTTGTATTTCCTACCTCGGAGAATTCTTAAATAGAAATTTTCGTCGAAATAGGAACATCAAAGTTGTTTGTTTAAAATTATCGCCGAACCATCGATGTATTTTTAAAAATGAGAAAAGTTGTTTTAGCTTCAAGGTGATTTGAAATACCCACAAGAAAATTATCAGGAATAAGCTCCACGAAATGATAAATTAGGACTGAAGATATGAAATAAAAACATTTGAAGAATTTCTCTTCATTTATTCCTTATAAAGGCTTAAAATCTAAAAGTAATTGATATGGTATGGAAGGGAATGAATTTAACTTTGCAATGGTCCAAAAATTGAATTAAGAAAACATTCTGAGGAATTATGAATGATTTTCCAAACGGCATGAAAAAAAAAATGCCTCCAATAAAATTAAGTCCAAAAATTATGTTTTTTTATTTAAATAAAAATTCATATTTAATAGTTTTAAAGGACGTAACGAATCTCAGCTAGATTTTGGTGACAAAAATACTATTATCCTAATTTATTGTATTCATCTAATACTATCAGCAATGTGTTTTCTTATTTTAAACCAACAATTAAATAGATTGATATTGTAAGACCTTTGATTCCTTGCAAAGCATAACTAATAATATAAGCAGATGGTATAAAAAAAATTATTAAATTTTATATATTTTTTTTTTTTTTTTATTATGGTTACGTTACCTTTGCAAGAACCCTCGGACAAAGATGAAATATTTTTCAACCAAGTATCACCCAAATAAGTTTCACTAAAATAGGTGACTACATCCGTAAACTCCTCTTTGTAAAACTTAATATCAGTACAACTACTTATTTAATCGTGGAGCAAATTTATGATCTAATAAAATTCCGCATTGAGTTTATTAGTGATGTATGCATTTTAAGTATAATATGTGGTTTGGTTTAAGTGTTTTTTTACACAATAAAATTTGCATTTTTCATTATTTTTAATTGGTGGTTGCATCTAAGATGAATAGTAAGGAAAAATAAAGAAAAACAATCTTATAATTATAAAATCAAATATAATTATACCAAACCTATACTTGTATTCTTATAAAGGGATGTAGGCACACAATAATATAAATATATAAAACAAAACGTGAAGGCATCAGGAACAGATACTCAATCTTTAATTTTTTTTGTAGACAAATCTGTAATATGTTCCAACTTGTATTATAAATAAGTTTTGAAAAATATATTAACAATTTCTGTTAAGTTGAATTAACTTTACATATAAGGAATATTTATTCATTGATATCAACCAGTAGGACATACCCTTGTAGCCCATCTACCAAACGTCATGACTAATGCTGTATTCGTGTAAGCTCGTCAGAGTGATGCAATATATTGGACAGTGGCCAGTCTTGCTGACAGTGATGGCCGTGTCTTCTGACATCTTGCTGGCCCGGAGGTCCTAGTGGTCAAGGGTGTTACCAACGCTGGAGGTGCCAGATGCCTCAAAAACTGGAAGGACGCAAGAAGGAATTTAATTTTAAAGAAAATATAGAAATCATATAAAGATTTGATTTTTATCTTAAATTATTCATATCTGCCAGTAGCGTCAGTACGTGAGAGTGTGTTGAAGCGTCCAGCAACACAGGTTCGAATCCGGCCTATAAGGTTTAAAATATATTTGTCGGACAAACGAAATGAATTTTGACCTTCCTACTCTAGTTAGAATAGGTTTGGTTGTGCCTCTAGAACCACTCCCTTTTTTCAGTATATTATACTTTATTTATTCGTTCTAGGCAATGCCCGAAGGGTCATTGGCATTTCATGTATTACTAGATTCGATGGTAAAACGTTTTTCAGTTTAGGTATTCCATTTGAAGTTTGAAGTCTGTTTCAGAATTTTTCCATATTTCGTACTGAATAAACACTGCTGTCACACAACCAGTACATGTGTAAATTTCAATATTGTTTTTTTTTTCTATTTACACAAGTTAGGATGATACAGTTTACTGTAGCAAGATATTTTTTTTCATGAAATCTGTAAATTAAATAAAGTATTAGAAAGATTCTCAACCAATCCCCATCATTCCAACTCGGTCAACGAAAAAAATATTTTTATGTTATTTATTTAGGAAGTAAAACATAAACAAACTAAATCATAAAACGTCTACATCAGGATTTCATTTGTTTACCTTATTATTAAAAATTCAAATGCGATAGTCTATTACTACCGTCATACCCCATATGACGAGGTTATATTACGTACCTGTTTATTAAATTAATATTTTAAATTTATTTTTTTATAACCAATGGTCAAAATTTTACCAACAATCATAATCCATCATTTTTTCATAATTATCATTAATAAAAAAGAACGTAAAAATACTTAAACAAACGAAAATGGTGCTGCTATAATGAAATGAAAGGAGAACAAAATATGAAGTAGAAATATGTTGAAACAAGAGGAAGAGATATGAAAAATCTAGACTGATATGATATACAATCACTATTATATATATTTCATATAATTTCTTTACATGCTTATGACTTTTGGTTAACATATAT